GGAGATGATGCGGGGACCAAGAGGTGGGGCCCTGGCCTCTGTGGTGACCACCAAGGATCCATTCCCAGGGTACCAGTTCTGTGCTTCCCATGCCTACGAGAGCAGCCAAGCCGATGAGCTGTCTGTGACCGCAGGGGCACGCGTGTGTGTGTTGGAAACATCAGACTGTGGTTGGTGGCTGTGCAGGTGCGTGGGGTGGGGCTCTGGTGGGCCCAGTCTAACAGAGGCAGGGCCCAGTGCTAACCAAACCCCGCCCTCCCCCGCAGGTTCCGAGGCCGTACTGGTCTTCTCCCAGCTGCAATGCTGCAGCCTGACGGGCTGGGCACACTCCTCAGCGGACCATGGCTCCACCTCAGGGTAGATGGTGGGGAGGACAGGGAGGGCGAGGCCCAAAGATCCCCCAAGTTCCCCCAGGCCACGACCCTGCCGCCTACCGTGCCTGCCCGACCATCTCGGAGTGCCATTCAGAGCCGCTGCTGCACCATCACCCATAAGGCACTGGGGCAGGACCCAGGGTGTCACGGACCCCCTTGAGAGTGTGTGGCATGTTGTGGAGGGCTGCGCTGTGCACCCCACAGCTGGAGCGGCAGGCCAGAGGCTCCAGACCCCAAGGATGGTGGCTGCCAGCCACATCAGCCTCAGGGCTGTGGGATGCGCAGTTGAGGGTGGGACTCCCTGGCTGGTGGGGCAAGGAGACTACATTCTCCCTTGTCTTCTGAGTAAAGTTCTCCTGACTGACCCCCACCCAGTGTCTGTGCTGAGGGGCAGGGACTGGGGGATCTTGGGCCAAAGTGTGGGGGCAGGGCTGGCCCAGGACCTGGGGTGAGACAAAGCCCAGAAAGACACAGGGAGCTGAGATAGCAAAGTACATGTTTTGGTGTGTTTCAGAGGGCCGCGGGGAGGGTGGGCAGCTTCATGTTGTGCCATAGGAAGTCCAGGAAGGTGGCTGCCTGCAGCATCCGGCTGAGCCGTTGAAAGTGCCGCTCTGGGGGAGGACAGCAGGCGATCAGGGTAGGTGGAGTCTGGCTAGATGGCCCCCTGCGCCCACCTGGGGCTGGGTCTACATACCAGTGTAGGGCAGCAGGGCCTCAAGTGAGGCCCGCACACCGTCGTAGGCCAGCAGCTCTTCCGGGGCCTCATGCCGCAGGAGCACGCCCAGCACGGCCTGGGCTTCATGGCAGTGCCGTGAGTTGGTGTTCCACGTGACACAGAAGCGCAGCAAGGCCTCTGTGGGTGACGGAGACCGTCAGACCTGCCTGCTGGGCCACCCCAGCCTTACTAGGCACCATCCAGCCCCGACCTGCCTGCCCCAGACCTTTCTGGTCTCGCCGCAGTTGGAGTACCGTGGCTTCCAGCTTCTCGCAGGACTCGGGGTCCCTTTGGATAGCTACGGGAGGAGGAGAGAGGAGACTGAGCCCTGGGGAAGGGGCACAACGGACCCAAGAGACTACCCCTGCCGCCTGTCTGGCCCGAGGCAGCACTGACCCTGGATGACAGTCAGCACAGTGTGGGGCCGGTCTAGAGAGATGGCCAGGCCCAGCGCCCGCAGGTACCGCTTCTCGTGGAGCAGGTTGTTCAGTTCTTGCTGCCTGTTGGGGGAAGGAGGGGACAAGACCACTCGGGGACCTGGCTAGGGCTGAAGGCAGAGCCATCAGGGGTTGGCTGAGGAGTCTGCAGCCCGGGCCTGAGCACCCGCTGGGGGTGAGTGGTGTTGCTGCTCCGAGCCTTGGTTTCCCAAAGCTATAGAGAGAAGGGACGCCAATGTGCCCTACTCCAAGGGGCGGGGGTGGTGCTAACGCGTGGGACTTGCCGTGAGGGGTTGGGTGGAGACCCCCAACTCACTTGACCACCTGCTCCTCTCTCTTGGCCTGCTCCTCTGCCTGCTCCGCCTCGGTCACATCCTGGGGTCAGACTGGGGTCAGACTGGCACACCCACGCTGTCCTGCCCACTGTCCCCCCACCCCACCCCAGGCCACACACCTTCCAGAGGATGACGCAAGAGTCGCTAGCGCCGGTGAGGGCATGATCATCCAGCCGGCTGCAGTGCAGACCCCAGACCTTGTCCTCGTGGGCGTCCAGCGTCCTCACACACTCATTGTTCTTGATGGTCCAGAGCTTCACGAGCCCATCAGAGCCGCTGCGTTCAGGATTGGGAGGGGGCTCAGCCCTGGGGCCTGCCCCTAGCTCACCCCTAACCCTGCCCCGCCCTCACCCACTCACCTGGACAGCAGCTGTGTGCCGCGGCTCACAAATGCCACCTTTAGCACAGAAGCATCATGTCCCTCGAACGTCTGCAGGGTGGGGAGAGGGGAGGTGTGAGGTGTCACCAAGTAGGGGGCCAGGCCTGGGCTGAGGGCGGCTTACCTTGAGGCAGCTGAAATCCTGCAGTGCCCAGAGCTTGATGGTGCCATCGGCCGAGGCTGTAGCCAACACCTGGTCCATGGGCGAGAATTGGACACACCAGAGGCCACGCCGGTGGCCCGAGAAGACGCCCAGCAACTGGCACTGTGGCAGGGCCCAGAGTTTGGCCGTGCGGTCCTGTGACCCCGTGGCCAGCAGCTTGTCGTTGGGGGCAATGGCCACACTGTTGATGTCCTGGTGGTGGGAGCAGGCAGCAGCTCAGATCCCCATCCCAGCAAGGGCCCTGCTATGACCCCACCTGTGTGCTGCGTGCGGTCACCTTGTCATGGCAGTGCTGTGTGGCCTGGGCCTGTAGGAGGACAGGTCCACCATCGGGGCCTGTGCTTTTGGATGGCAGGGCTTCAGGGAGGGGCCACAGCTTCACAGTGCAGTCCTGGCTGCCCGTCACCAGGAAGGTCTCCTTCAGCCTGAGGCCCGATTTGGGGGAGGGGGAGACACCTGCTGACCCCTGGCCAGCCCTGTCTGCAGTACACCACAGCTCAGGCCTGTCAGACCTTGGTCCAAACCTGAAAGACTGTCCCGGAATGTGAACTAATGTGCCACCGCCTTAACACCTCTGGGACCACCTGCTTCCACTCGAGTCTGTACTGCCTGCCCTCAGTGCTGTCAAACCCGGGGACTTGGTCCCAACAATGGGAGCCCCAGGCCTAAAGAGCACCCTTTCCCCCTGGACGCTGCTTACTGTCATTGCCCCTGGTCTAACACCCCTCCCCTTTCATCCACACAACCTGAAGATTAATTCTTAAGAACCTACTACAGTGGCATCTGAGGATGCCCCAGCCCCTGTTCTCTAGTCCACATTCCTAGGCTGGAGACTCAGAGAGCAAGGCAAAACCCACCTCTGCCTCCATGACACCCCGGACCCCAACCCTGAACCACTACCTTGAGCAACAAATGGTGCCCACGCTGTGTGTGTGTCCAGAGCCCTGAGCCACACAGGCCACCTCGCCCGCCTTGTTCATCCTCCAGACGCAGATGCTCTGATCCTGGGGATGGGATGGGTGAGGAGAGGCTGGGCTGGGCTTCCTGACCCAGGACCCTGTCCCTCCCACCTCTCGTGGTGCTTCACCTTGGCACAGCTAACGAAGAGCCAACCCTTCCGGAACACATCTAGGGCCAGGACAATATCTAGAAAAAGGTGGAGGAGAAATGGCTAGAGAACAGCTGTGGCAAGGCGGGGCAATCCAGTCCTGGGTGAAGTCCGGGGGCGCTGGCCTGGCACCCTCACCTGTGTGGCCGTGGAGAATCTGGCAGGCAGATGTCTGCAGCTCAAACACTTTCAGGCAGGGGCTGTTAGAAGCCACCACAACGTGGGAGTCCTTGGGCCCGAGGAACCGGACGTCCAACACCTCCTCACTGTAGCCGGCAAACTGTGGGGGCAGGAGGAACACAGGCCGGGGCCTGTGTGAGTGGAGGGCTGGCATCCTGGGCTGTGGGCCGAGCAGGGGCAGTGCTTGCTCACCTGTTTCTGCAGCTGCAGGGAGCGGGCCTCATAGAGAAGCAGGTTGTGGTCAGCAGTGACGCTGAGGAGCAGGCCAGCGGCTCGGGCCAGTGTGCAGTGGGTCAGCTCCCGCCCGGGGCCTGGCAGCTGCCGTTGTGCATGGACACACTGCCCAGAGGCCGCCTCCCACACGCGCAGCGTGCCTGTGTGGGGACAAGGGCCGCTGGGACTCACGGATCCACAGGCCTCCATTACCCCTGCTGCCTGCCCTGGCCTGGCCCCACCCACCTTGGTCACCAGCTGTCAGGAAGTGCAGGCCCACAGACTTCACACCCAGCTCCGGCGCCGGCTCCTCTGGCAACAGAACTGCAGCCTCCACACTCTGAGGACGAGCAGGTCAGAGGTGGCAGCCCCGCATCCCACCCCGCCCCACTCAATGGCCCTGGCGCCCCACCTCAAACACCGGCACGGTCCTTGTGGCCTGGAGGCTCTGCAGGTCCCAAACAATGCAGATCTTGTCACGGCCTGAGCTGGGGGGAAACAGCCACCTTAGTTCCCAAGTCTCAGCTGTGGCCGTCCCTTTCCTGCCAAGGCCTGGGTAGCTGGCTACTGACCTGAGCATGGTGTGACCATCAGCACTGAAAGTCAGAGAAGTGACAGCGCTGTAGTGGGCAGTCAGCATAGCCAGGCACGACCGGTCCTGCAGTGACCACACGCGGATGCTGGTGTCTGCGGCTGAAGAGAAGAGGAGCAGGCGTGCGGGGTCCGGGTGGAAGGCTACCAAACTGCAGGCAGGTGGGGTGCGACTGGTGAGCTATGCCACCCTGACTGTGACGCCCCTCCCACCTGCCCTCCGCCACCCCTACTCACTGTATGACACCCGGTGAGCCCCGAAAGTGGTGTGTCCCATAGTGCTGCACGACATCCCAGACACGCACGGCCCCATCACAGCCGCCTGTGGGAATGTATTTGAGGTGCGGGGGCTGTATGCCCAAAGCCCCCTGCCTGGCTCTAACCACTTCCTCTACCCAGCCGGAGTCCTACCTGTGGCTAACAGCGTGGAGGTGGGGTCGAAGGCCATGGTGGCCACAGGGGCTGTGTGTATTGCCTTCCACAGGCGGGTGATGCTGCCCTCTTGCCAGGCCCACTGAGCCAGCAGCAGTGCCCGGCTGGCTGTCACCAGCACCTGGGGGAGCACGCAGTTCAGTTGGGGGCAGAGGCATGGACGCCGTCCTCATCAACTCTGGTTGGGAGGTACCGGAGCCCACCTCTTGTCCCGGTCCCATATACCTTGTCATCGGGGCTGAGATCAAAGGCAGTGATGTCCTCCTGGTCCTCCTGGGGCGAGAGTGAATGCACAGGGTGCCATGAGACTAGGCTGCCCCCCACACCAGCCCCTTACCCTGACCCTCCCCTGCCCTCACCTGCTCCAGGCTCTGCAGCATAGTCCCCGAGGCCACATCCAGGATGTTGACCCTGGTGCCACAGACACAGAAGAGGTGCTGCCCAGTCTGATCCAGCTAGTGATAAAGGGATCTCAGTCAAGGTAACACTTTTCAGCCCCTGCCTGTCCCACCACTCTGCTCCCCTAGGCCAGTACCTGCACCTTCCCGCCCTTGTAGAAAGGCTCGATCTTGCGCTCGACAGCATAGCTGGAGGAGAGACGGGGAGAGAGTGAACCATCCACCCCTTGGTCCTCAGTGCCCAGCCCTGCGCTAGGTGCTCTCCTAGAGATCAACCAAATAGGACCCTGCCCTTGAGGAGTTCCTGGGTAGCAGCAGGGATGCAGAGGGCATGAGGGAGGGAGAGTGACGAGCTCTTCTACTGTTCCTTTCTTTAATGCTCTCAGCTGTACTGTGAGATGGGTGTTGGTACCCCCATGTTACAGGAGATTTGGGACCCTGGGCTGGTCTGTGATCCACACGGGTCCCAGGGCAGTCCAAGTCTTCCCAGAGACTTCCCGGTATGGAGGAAGCCAGGCCTTGGGGGCCCCCTGCTGGCCATGAGAGGCCAGGCTTGGGTACCAGCCCAGAGCAACATCCTCTTCAACATCCTCCTCAACACTTTCATCCCTGAGGTCCAGCCTGCCCCTTCCCCAAGCCCGGCTCCTTCCTCCATCTCACTCTCTGAGCAGATTCTCATTTCAGCAAAGGTGTCAGGCTGTCCTCTCCCCTCCCTCTCGGCTACTTCCATGTTGGTCCAAGCCACTGCACTCTCCTCTCCGGGGAGCTGCTCCAGCCTCTTCGCTTGGTCTCCACCACTCTCTCAAACCCTGCTCCCAGAGAGGCCTTCTAGAACATAACTCTGTTCATGTCATCACCCTGCCTTAAAGTCCTCTGCTCTCCTTACACGTTTACGAGACCCAGCCTCAAAGAGTATCTTTTGACTCTTTGTGTTCACATGGGCTGTTCCCTGTATGTGGCCCGGGTCTCTCTTCCCGAATTTCAAAGGTGCCTGGATGACTCCGCTGGAGGAAGACTGACAGCCAAGATGAAACGGAGCCCCCCTGAACCCACTCAACCATCCAACAGATGGTCTTGGCATCAGGGCTTCCCCTTGCTAATGCGTGTCACAGACGCTGATAGAAACGATTTGTTTAATATGTTTATCCCATCAGACTGCTGCACAAGGCGAGGCTGAGTGTGTCTGGTCCCGGGCACTGAGCACTTATATGTTCAGCATAAGTTTGGGGGGTTGAAAAAGCACGGGATTGAGGGCTTCCTGGCCACAGAGGACCAGCCCATCTCCTGACCTCTCTTCCTGCTCCCCGGAGAAGAGGGACAGCAGATGAAACCCCCCAGGCCGCCTGCCCCAGAGGTGGTTCTTCTCCTGCTGAGCGCTGGGGAGTCCCGCTCCCGTCCAGGACCAGCCTCGACCTGTGCTCAGTTCGCCCCTTCCTCCCTCTCTGGGATTTCTTGTCCCCCTCCCCCTCCCCAAACCGGCTCCAAGTTTAAGTAGCGGAAGCCAGCTGCACCCGGTGGGACTCCAGTGCCCGCCCTCCGAGAGCAGTCAGTGCCGGCTCTCCCGCGAGGACGCCGCGGGCCTGTCCGTATCCAGCCCTCACCCCCTCCCCAAATGGGTGCAGGACCCACACCAGGCGCCTTCGCTACTCCGGCTGCGAAGCCGGCTCCCTACCCCGGCGGAGCCCCGGCTCACTTGGACTTGAAGCGGCCCACTCCGGCTGCTGCCTCCGCCATGTCGCCGCTGCCGCCGCCGCCGCGTGAGGGAGACCTGGGCACGACACCACACTGTCGGCGCCGGAGGATGGCGTCACCGCCGGCAACTACTGTGACGTCACCAGCGCTACGGCCTCGGCGACATCTTTGCTGTGGGCAGCGGAGCGGCGTCAGGAAGAGGAAGATGGCAGAGGCGTTTCCGGCCTCGAGGGCGGGCTGTAGAACAACGTGGAAGCGGCTGGGGTCGACTGGCAGTGTGCTGGGCTCTCTAGCTGCCTGTCATTTCACTGGACATTTTTTTTTTTTTTTTTTGCGGTCCGGGGCCTCTCACGTTGGGGAGCACAGGCTCCGGACGCGCAGGCTCAGCGGCCATGGCTCACGGGCCCAGCTGCTCCGCGGCACGTGGGATCTTCCCGGACCGGGGCACGAACCCGTGTCCCCTACATCTGCAGGCGGACTCTCAACCACTGCGCCACCAGGGGAGCCCTTACTGGACATTTAAAAAGGTATTCGGGAACGTCCCTGGTGGCGCAGTGGTTAAGAATCCGCCTACTACTGCAGGGGATATGAGTTGGAACCCTGGTCCGGGAAGATCCCACATACTGCAGACCAACTAAAGTTAAACCCCTGCGCCACAACTACTGAGCCTGCGCTCTAAAGCCCGCAAGCCACAACTACGGAAACCTGTGCGCCTAGAGCCCGTGCTCTCCAACGAGAAGCCACTGCAATGAGAAGCCCGCTTACCGAAAGAAGAGTAGACCCGGCTCGCCGCAGCAAAAGGCCGTGCACATCTTTATTTATAAATAAATAAATGTCTTTAAAAAAAGCAAAAAAGGTATTCGTAGGAAATGTTTACTAAAGTAATCCCAAGACTCCTGCCCCCTTGGCATTCTGGGATTTGGGGCAAGAGTGGTCAGGTGTGGTGAGTTAGCAGGTGAACCGGGCTCTGCCTTAGGGCTTCCGGTATAGTATGAGAAATAACGCAGGTAAATTAATAAATTGGGTGATTTCAGAGTCGTTCGAATATTGATGAGCACATTCCACGTGCAAAGCACTGTTCTAGGCACTTGGGAGACACCAGAGAAGCCGGTGAGCCAGTGTGAACTGGTGGGAAGGAACTTGGAAAGGTCCAGGGAAACAGGCCAAGATGTCCCTTTCAGATGAGGTGAGTAATGCCTGGAGGGGGAGGCGTGAGGCCAGCAAGCACAGCGGTGGTGAGGCGGCCAGGCCTAGGCTCTGCGTTTATTTACTCCCCTATTTATAAGGTAGCTTGGCCCTGGGCCCCCCACATCTCAGCCCCAATGCTGCCTTCTGGGGGGGCCTCAGCCTCCTCTTGCGGGGCGCCCAAGAGCAGGGCGTCATCTTCCTCCAGGAACTCTCCGAGCTGGCCCAGCTGCCGGCGGATGAGGTTGGCGGACCGGTACACCTTGCGCATGCGCCGTAGCAGGCACAGCACCAGGGTCCGGCTGCGCTCCTGGCGCTGGCACCAAGCCTCGCGCAGCTCACGGTAGCAGTTGTGGCTTGCGCGTTCGGCCGGGCCCAGGGTGGCCCCGCAGCCCAGGGGGCAGCGCTGATGAGCACCATGCTGGCAATTCTGCCAGTGCTCGGCCAGGTTCCCACGAGGCACCCGCGACGTGCACCCCTCGTTGGAACAGGCCATCAGCTCGAAAGGGCATGAGTCCTGGTGCCCCTTCCGATGGGCCAGGGGGCACGTCACCAGGCAGCCAGCTTCAGCGTTCTTGCACTGGGGGTGGAGGAGAGCATCGTGTGAGCCAAACCAGGTGAGGCACTGCCAGCCATGAGCCGGCTGCCCCCCATAGAATCCCCCATCCATGGCATTCCACTGAGCAGGAACCACTGAACTGGGAGCCTCCCAAGCTCTTATGTACCACTGGCTTGGTGGAGAGAGGGAAACAGTGGAGCAAATGCTTGGAGGTGGGAAAAATCTAAATCTCTGAGAGGAGGGGAACAGGACCTGAGGTTTAGAGAACAGGGAGTTACATGGTTGGGTTGGTCTGGTGGATTGTTTGTATGCCAGGTTTTTTGTTTTTTGGTTCCACTGTGTGGCTTGTGGGATCTTAGTTCCCCGACCAGGGATTGAACCTGAGCCATGGCAGTGAAAACACTGAATCCTAACCACTAGACCATGAGGGAAGTGCCCAGTCAGGTTTTTAAAAAAAAATCTCAATTTTCCCCATCTATAAAACTACAGGGCTGGAGAGTAATGGGCAGCACAACAGACACTCCATCCTCTATAATCCCCATTTTACAGCTGGGGCTCCTGGGGCTCAGAAAGGTTAGGTAACATGCCCAAAGTCACACAGCAAGTAAGTGGTAGAGAAGTGACTCAAATTCAGCCAAGTCTGATGACCTCAAGGAGGGCAGTCTGTTGGTGTAGAAACCCTCAGTTCTGAGGATGGGATTCTTTTCAACCCCTCTCCTGGCTCTGCTCCCCACCCCTACAGGGGTGAGGAGTGTAGGGTGGTGGGAGTGGGTGTTTTGAGCTACCTTGACTTCCAGGCGGCCAATGATCTTCCGGAGTTTATTCACATGGACCATCTTTTTCTGTTTCACCTCTCTCCTGCAGCACGGACAGGTCTTTTGTCTAGGAGACATGAGTGGGGGTGATTATTGGGAGTGGGAGGAGAGCAAGTGGCAGCAACATGCCTCCCCTGGTGGTCCCTCCTTCTCTTTAGCTGGAAGAGACATAAGAGGGCATTATAGGGAGCTCTCAGCTCTGAGGATGGGGCTAAGGGTTGCAGATACCACAGGGTGACCAGATTCACATACATTAGTGTCCCAGGAGATTTGGCAGCTGAACTTTATGGCCATCATGACCCAGCGCTTGGCTGACCTTCCTCTCTGTTCTGGGCCCCAGGAATGGCTCCCAGCCCCACCCCTGCCCTCCCAGCCTTTTGGGTGCCCAGTAGCACCTGGCTAGCCATGGGAGGATGCACCTCTTGCAGAAGATGTGGCTGCATGGCAACCTCATCGGCCTCTTGAGAACTCCATGGCAGACAGAGCACAGGAAGTTGCAGTCGGGAGGGCTGGTGAAGAGGTTGAGATCATACCCGCCACTCTGCAAAGGCCAGGCCAGCATCAGGGCCTGGCTGGGACCAGGATCTGGCTCCCCACTCCACATGCCCAGAGAAGGACCCCAGGAAGCTTTGGGTGGGAGGTGGGCCACATGAGAGCCCCAAGTGGAGGGCTGGGTCAGCACCCACTATGAGGCGACAGTGGTGAGGGTCAAGACTCCCCATGACTACCAACCTCCAGCTGTAGAAGCTGGCCTTGGCCTGGAGTTAACATTTGCCCAGAGGGACTTCCCTGATGGCACAGTGAATAAGAATCTGTGCTCCCAATGCAGTGGGCCCGGGTTTGATCCCTGGTCAGGGAACTAGATCCCACATGCATGCTGCAACTAAGAGTTCTCAAGCCTCAACTAAGGAGCCCGTGAGCCGCAACTAAGACCCAGTGCAACCAAATAAATAAATACTATTTAAAAAAAAAAAAAGACTTGGCCAGAGCCCTCTGAAAGGTTTCCGTGTCCTATTTGGGAGCTTGTACCCCACTGTGCACATCATCTTAGTGAGAAATGGGGTCCAGCTCTGGACAGGTCTAAATGCTCACCATGATCTCTGGATGGCAGCTCCACTGACCGCTGGGGCTCAGGAGCCTCCATTTCATAGCAGGAGCAGGCCGACATCACAGTGGCATTGTCCAGCTCAGGCCAATCACAGCCCTGGCCCAGGGCACCACCTGGCTCTTGCTCCCCTCTCAAGAGTCACAGGGCAGCCCAGAGCCGGGATAGGTCTCTGGAGCCCCTGCCTTGCCTCTGCCTTTGGGGTGGCTGACAGCCATCTTCAAATAGCACTAAGGCTGGAACCAAGCTTCCAGGGGCTATTTCCTCAAAGCTGAGGCTCCAGCAGGAGTGCAGGGACTGTTCCCCTCTCCTTCCTCAAATAGGCTGCCCAGGTGGCCAGATCCCCAAGAGCTCAGGGGGCTTTAGACATTGACTCATTATCAGGTCTCTTAGGATCAGAGACCTATGGGGCTAGCTCCAGGATACAGACCAGGAGTGAGGACCAGATTTCCGTGGTACTGCAGCAGGAGCCTAGCATGTGGGAGAGCCTCCCAGAGCAGGTAGGCTGACCACCTGGGTAGGCCTATGAGGAAAGGTGTGGGGAAACCAATTTCCATGTGTGAGGCACAGAACAGAGAACTGCAGTTTCAATACCACTGAGTGTTGAGCTCATCAAATCCTATAGGCCCTAACCCTTTCCTGAGAGCAATAGGGAGCCACCGCAAGCCTCTGAGCTGCAAGTCTTACACTCCCACCCTTGTTAGTGTTTTGCTGATCCAGCCTGACTCACCTCAAGCTCAAGGTACTTTACATGCTGATATAGAAGATACGGGGTATGGGTAGAAATAACATGGTTTCAAACCTGGCTCTGCCGCTTTTGGAGAGTGGGATCTTAGAAATCACTTGCCAACCTTCAAGACCGGGTTCTACCCCTGCGTGGCATCCAAAGCAGAGTTGAGCTGGCCTGAAAGAGGTGTCCCACAAAGGTCTCTCCTCCACAGCACACCTCGGTTCCCTCGTCAGCAGATGCGTATTCCAGGATGGTAGTCGGGGGTTCAAGAACACCCACACACGGATGAATCAGATCAACAGCTTTATTGAAAAACGAAAGCAGAGCCCCCCCTTCCCCCCCGGTCATGGCGGCGTCGGCCTCAGGCTCTGAGCATCCAGGCATCCTGCGGGTAGAAGACGAGATCAGGAATCAGGTACCAGAGTCCGAAACATGAGAGCGGCCGCAACCAGGCCCGGAGCGGCGGCGCGTGTCGGGGCCTGGGTTTCACCTCCCCACACGGAGGAGCGGGCGGTGAGCTGAGGCCCCCGGTGGCTCTGGGCGCCGAGTCTCACCTGCGGCCACGGCCAAAGCCGCAGGTGATTTTCAACCAACGCCGATCTCCCAACCACCCCACAGCGCCGCAAAGTGCCAGACAGAAGTACCTACTGAACAGACCTACCTGCAGCCAGAGACCGAGCGGGCCCTTATAGCAGCGTCCCAGTCGCGCAGATTCCGGGGCCGCAGACACGCAGGTACTAGCAGAGCTCGGCGGAGGCGGGGCCCCTCGGAGCCAATCACAGGCCATTTTATAGGCCCTTGGCGCAAGAGCGATTGGGGTGGGGCAGCCGAGATCTCGCGGCGCTTGGCGCTGTATAAAGACTCCCTTGGGGGTGGCTTCTTTCTTTTTTTCTGTAAAAACACGTGAGTGTTTGCGTTAGTAGCTGCGGCCGGTGGGCCTGGGAGGTGGGAATCCGCCGCCATCGGGCGGGGTCCGGGCTGGTGCGCCCGCGCTGCGGGGCTGAAGCCCGGCCTGGGCGTCCGAGGCGTCCGTAGATGCCAGGGCCTCACTGACTGGCTGGTTCTTGTTACTCTTTTTAGCAAATGGCGGATGACGCCGGTGCTGCGGCAGGCCCCGGGGGCCCCGGGGGCCCCGGAGGCCCCGGGGGCCCTGGCATGGGAAGCCGTGGTGGCTTCCGCGGAGGCTTCGGCAGCGGCGTCCGGGGCCGGGGCCGGGGCCGCGGTCGGGGCCGGGGCCGAGGCCGCGGAGCTCGCGGAGGCAAGGCCGAGGACAAGGAGGTAGGTCTGCGCGATGCGCATGAGGCGGGCCCTTGGACGGCACTGGGAAGGCGGTCCTGGGCACCTGCTGCGCCTTTTCCTCTTCCAGTGGCTCCCCGTCACCAAGCTGGGCCGCTTGGTCAAGGACATGAAGATCAAGTCTCTGGAGGAGATCTATCTATTTTCTTTGCCCATCAAGGTAAACATAGGTTCTCTTTTTCTTGGGTGGGGCCTTGGCCTGGCTGGGGTCGAGGGACCTTTGTCACTGGTTGGACATTGAGGGGTCCTAGGCTGCACATTTGGTTTTATTAAAGTTTTGTCACAAATTTTTTTCTTGTAGGAATCTGAGATCATTGATTTTTTCTTGGGGGCATCTCTCAAGGACGAGGTTTTGAAGATCATGCCTGTGCAAAAGCAGACCCGTGCTGGCCAGCGGACCAGGTTCAAGGTACCCCAGCCATCTTATTTTCTTAGGCTGTTTTTGTCAAAGGCTTGTGAGACTCTCTCAGCTTTGCATGGTTGCACTTGTCTTCATGTGTGTGACTTTCGTAACGGGGAGAGAGAGAAAGGATCTCAGGATCTCAGGTCTCCTGGTGGCCAGTCTTTCCTTGAGGGCCACAACAGACCCTGTGCGTGTGTGGTGGGTGGCTACCGACGTTATGAAGGGCAGTGGACCACCAGCCACGTCAGTCTCTTTGCAGGCGTTTGTCGCCATCGGGGATTACAATGGACATGTTGGTTTGGGTGTGAAGTGCTCTAAGGAGGTAGCCACTGCCATCCGTGGGGCCATCATTCTGGCCAAGCTCTCCATCGTACCCGTGCGACGAGGCTACTGGGGGAACAAGATTGGCAAGCCCCATACCGTCCCTTGCAAGGTAGGCTGGATGGTGGTGCGTGGCAGGGCCTGCAGTGGTGCAGACTCTCCAGCCCATCTCCTGACTCTACCCCTTCCCAGGTGACTGGCCGCTGTGGCTCTGTGCTCGTGCGCCTCATCCCTGCCCCCAGGGGCACTGGCATTGTCTCAGCCCCTGTGCCCAAGAAGCTACTGATGATGGCTGGAATTGATGACTGCTACACCTCTGCCAGGGGCTGCACTGCCACGCTGGGCAACTTCGGTAGGTGGCCCACATGTAGACTCTGGCTTCTCTCAGCTCTGCTCAGTCACATTCTGTGTGTGGTTGGTGTATTTTGAGAGAGAGAGGAAGGCTCTCCTAATGCACGACAGATTGGCCCACAGTGGCCTCTCTGTTCCTAGGAGTGCAACAGCTTCTTGCTGTAACTGGGGTTCATCTCAGGTCAGTTCACTAATCCTCTCCTATTTTCCCTTTTTCAGCCAAGGCCACTTTTGATGCCATTTCCAAGACCTACAGTTATCTCACTCCTGATCTCTGGAAAGAGACGGTGTTCACCAAGTCTCCGTATCAGGTACTGCCTGCCCCGCTTCCCTGTTAGGCAGGCCGGGCAAAGCAAAGGGTATCAGTCTATTTGGTTACAACTAAAGCCTCTTTTGTTTTTCTAGGAATTCACTGACCATCTTGTAAAGACCCACACCAGAGTTTCTGTGCAGAGGACCCAAGCGCCAGCTGTAGCCACCACATAGTTTTCCATAAGAAAAATAAAGTGAATGAAGCTAGTTTATAGTTGTCTTTTGATTTTTTGGGGGGGGCCGTACCATGAAGCTTGTGGGATCTTAGTTTCCCGACCAGGGGTTGAACCTGGGCCCCCAGCAGTGAAAGTGCAGAGTCCCTAACCGCTGGACCATCAGGGAGCTCCCTATTTTCAAGTTTAGTGGTGGCTGAATTTGGAAGGGAAATGGAACCAATAAGATGAGAAATCTCAATAAGGCTTATCAACGTGTCAAGGTTGGGAGCTAAAGGTGACACCACAGAGATTCCATTACTCTTTATTTTAGCAACAGCGACAGACACATGAGGTGGTTCGAGCTGCCTCAGGCAGCAGCAGCCTCCTTGGCGGCTTTTCTCTCTGCCAGCATCCTCTGCTTCTGTTTTGCCAGGCACTTCCTGGCAGAATAATGGGCCCCCAGGTCATGATCTGGGAAAGAGATGGGGAGGAGTCATGGGCCATGATGGGAATTTGTGGTCTTTTCTCCATGCAGGGACTCAGGCAGCTAAGACAACTTATTGAGCAGACAAGGGATGAGGTAGGGTGGTTTTCTTTTACAACCACCAGAGATTGGGCTAATTAGCAAAACGTTTAGTACCCAGCTCTGTGGAGACTGGAAGGAGGACTGGGAAGTGAGGTGGCAGAAGCAGGAGTAGCTGGGGGTAGGCTGGGGTGGAGCTGACTCACAGCGGTCCTGGTAGGCCTTGGCCACCTGGGTGAACTGCTCCAGCTCCTTGGTACAGTTCTGCCTGTAGCTCTCACCTTCCCTCTGCTGACAGGCCTTTAGCCTTTCCTGGATAATGTTGACGATTTCCTGATCAACTTTGCTAAAAGGAAAATGAGAAAGGTGGTGAACAACAGGGGTCCCCAACCCCCAGGGCCGTGGACCGCTACCGAAGCTTCATCTGCCACTCGCGTTACTGCCTGAACCGCCCCCCCCCTCACCGCCACCCTGTGGAAAAACTTCCATGAAACTGGTCCCTGGTGCCAAAAAGGTTGGGGACCGCTGGTCTAAGGTCTATAAGGATTCCCTGTACTCAGGGAAAGTAAAATGAAGGCAGGGCCTGGGAGCCCTGTGGTCTGGCCCCTCCACCCCTAGATCTGGGTTGGCCACCATCTCATGTCATCCGGAGGGAATATGTTCATTGCACAGAGCTCTCAGTAGTATTCACTGACTAAGAGCAGAAGCCCAAGGGGTAGGACTTACTAGTCTCTTCTCCATTGCATTTCTGCTTCAAACATGCACAATATGTCCTTTTCATTGCACTCAGTGATGTCCGGCACGCGGCGGAACTCACGGTGGTAGTAGTAATACCTGTTCTTGGCGTGCTGCCGCTCTATAAACTCTGCAAAGAGAAAACCCCAGGTGCAAAGAGAAAACCCCAGGTCCAAAGGCC